ATATCATAATTAATATATAATTTAATTTAACAATACAACAGAAATTGTCGCTTTGATGAGCTTTTATAAACGGCACAGAGAGACAGATTAGGACATAGGAGTGATTGGTTAAAATTTTCCATCCAATCATCAGGAATTAGATTGTTTCGTAGAATAGTCTACAGTTACTGTCACATAAGGTTTTTTTTAAACAAACAGCTTCGTATATGACCCATCTGTTTAATTCCGATATATAACCAGGATGTTTTTTGCCAATGTTTTACTGTTATATTTTGTAAGTCAATTATTTGGTTAAGTTGACAGCTCAAAGAACTTTCTTTTGATAATTTTAATTTTCTAGATTTTTTCTGTTGCATTTTCTAGGCAAACAAATAAAAAAATGAAAAGTAAACGCACGAAAAAGTACCTTTTGGGTACAAATAAAAAACAGGAGTCTAAACTATTTTTTTTAGAAATTACGAATGACAGTGATTGTTTGCATACATAATCTCCATGTACATACATTAACTGCAAGTGATACTGGAAACTTCAACATAATAACATCTATTTTGTAGGAATATTATCATGAATTGTCCTGTGTTAGGTTTTTAGAATTTAACTGGTTTTTTTATGATTAAGAATCAAGTTTGTTATACGTTAAGGATCCAGGAGTAGCATATTCATCAATTATGTTTGCTCCAAGTATGTTTTAAGGTTACGGTAAACTTGTAAGGAAGACAGAGTTGACCTCTAAGAATTATCTGTTAATGTTACAAGTAAAGTTTTCATGTAGAGTAGTTAGCTTATTTAATTTAGTGGTCAAATGGCAAAAAGGACAACAAAATATTTAGCATGTCGATACCTTGTTGCCTTAATTGAGCGTATTATAATACTTGTATAGACAACCATTCCTTAAGATATTTCGTTCCTGTTTTTTTTAAAGATCACGGCAAGTGCGACATATTTGTATTTCAGTAAGCAATCTACGATAGTTAGTTTTGTTACCAACTAAAAGCTGCCAATACTTATTAATCATTGCTTCTTATTACTTATTACTTGTTTTAAGTGTAATTAGACATATTTTTATTAAATTTTCGTAAATTTGATAACACGTAAAATGGTAATCAAGAAATTGTGTAATTATTAGTTTTGGAAATAGGACTTAATCTATGCTTTGTTTGAAAAACTGAATTCTACATAAAAGGTGTTCTAAACAGTCTACGAAAAGGAAATGTACAGTTCTTAACCCAGGTTTAATGAACAGTTTGGTAGTCCAGAGAAGCTGAACACCGAAAGAGAATAAATCTCTTTGGGCGTGTTATTTATGCCCTGAACTCCTGTAGAATAACATTAAAACTGAAACTTTGACCTTTGATCGTGGCCTGTCAGTTTTTGTTTTATTATATACAACCACAACCTATGTTTATTATTAGGATTAGTTTGTAGAACCAACCTTGAATGATCCCAAAACATAACATAACAACCTTATGTTGTTGTAAAAATTTCTATTAGAAGTGTTTATATCCATCATGATGAGTAATAAAACCAAACTTATTTTTAATAGCCTTATTTCTGTTGTATTATATATACTTTTTTATTTCAATTTGAAAAGTTTTCTGTAAGAATGTCCGTAAGAAAAACCAACCCACATACTAAGTCATAAGACCAATATTATATTTCTAATGGCTTTGTTTTTACAGTATTTTTTACACACTAGCTTTTTATTATACACTCTTTCACTGTAAGGTGTAGTTTTTTGTTTGGTTTTTAAATAAGATAAAAATTTCAAACAAACGTAGGTTGTTTGCCTGGTTTTCTCTCTGTCTGTCTGGAAAGGATTTTTATAATATAAGCATAACTGTTATTACCTTTAGTGATTTATTTCTATTTTACTACATAATTAGTAACATGTAGAGTATATATTACTACTTATGTATCCACAAAAGGTATCAATAACCTAATTTGTACTAATTAAAATTTAATATCGTACACCTTGTATATTTAGTAAACGAGCAATATAAACTGGAATAAATATTTTTTAATGAGTATACTAACCAAGTAAAGGGGACAAACAATAAGTTTGTATTTTGATTTGTTTTTTGAGAAAACAGGCCAGTTTCTGAAATGTGTAAGTTATTTAAACTACCAATGACGTAAGATTAATTATTCTTATAAATTAAGGGTCGATGTATTTATCTTTTTGTTTTTTTTTATTACTTTCCAAACAGACCTTAATTAATCTTGTCAAACCTCATTTAAATTCTGGCTGAAATGGATTTAGTAAACGATATAAAAATAGTATAGTATATGATAAAAAAACGCATAATACGAATGAATTGTTAAATAATCAAATTAAAATTAAATTCTGAAAGTGAATTTGCCTCAAGAGGTCAAGTGTTGAGCAAAAGTATCATCAAGAATACATTTTTCTCGAACGTAGTTTTTTTCTACGTAAAATATGTATATTATGTGAGGAAAAAGCCATACTTTTATTACTGCTTATTTGTGTTCGATGTACCTTTTTGTAGATAAATTATGTTTTTTCTTTGCAGTACTATAACTTTTAGAATGTTAACTGTACAATTTGTGGCAACATTAACGTCCCTGATGCGACCATAATCTACCAATAATGGGTTTATAATGTAACCGAACCAAACACATAACACCAAAACATAGAACCGGTTCCAAATAATAGTTTACAGAGGCAATGTAACTATGACTTAAAACTATAATAATTCGACCAAAGTTGGCAATTTCTATATATTTATATGGCCCAAACATAATATATTATAAATGTCTAATGACACATAACATGTTTTTCAATCCGGCAACTCGTTCATTATTTTCAAGTGTGGTACAGAATTCCGAAAGCCTAATCTTTTAATTTGAAAACGGCTGCAAACATTTCAAAATTGTTTGATATGTATAACTTCGTTTCCGTAAACAGGAAAGTCTGACAATTATCGATTTATGGTTTCGCAGAAATATTTGTTTATTGGTACTGTACTTACTACGATAATAATTGTATTATTGTTAGTCACTTATCGGTCAACATGGCCTGTAAAAAAGCATTGTATTGATATTTAATGATCTACATAAAAAAAAAATTTAAAAAAATTATTTACTGACTTAAGCTTTTTGTTAATTTTATTATCAAGGAACAAACAAATGTCTACTTTAAAAAAGGCACGAGCTAAAAAGTTGTAACAGCATTACGAAACCTCAACTAGAAATGTATAATGTCCAAAGGTGGATTTATCGACAGTTATTGATGTGTAGATAGCAGACAAACATGACCAATCTCTATGACATTTGCACAATCACATCAATCAATATCCACAGGTTCATCTGGGAAGTTATTAATGAGATGGACAAGCGTGCTATATGACCAAAACCATCGCTACTATGTCTATTTGAGGGTTTAAATTGCAAGTCCATAAGCAGAAATTAATTGATTCTGATGATAGCAATAAGCTAAAAAATACCATACTCAAAGATTAATCCAATGAAAATGGCCAACACATGTACAATATACGCATATACACTGTTATATGTTGTTAACCTTGGTTTTCCTTTTAGGCATATCGGAAAAAAACACTTAAATTTAATTATTGTATTATAGGTCTTTAAATAATAATTTTATAATTTTCCTGATTACATTTCATTCCTTTGTATTTCTATAGACTTATTTCAGTAGTTTCACTACCTAGGTGGAAAAATACTTAATTACTTTTAATTGTTACATGGTAAGTTTCTAAAATCAAAGGTAGGTGTGCAGGACATCTCCCATTAAAGGACAAAAGGATAAAGACAGTAATATTTATATAATTATTAATCGATCAATCTGTTTCAAAAGGAAAAGGAAAATTAAAAACAAGTTTTTGTTTAAAGCACCATTGAGAAAGTATTAGAAGGATAATTAAAGGGTTAATTGTATTACGATTCACTTTTTTAAGTGTCATGAGATGGGAAATACCAACACAAAGATGAGGTATTAGTTTGCTTACTTAAGTAATCACATGTACTAAGAAGTAATAATTTAAGGTTTTCTCTGATCCTCAAGTATTTTAACTAACCTCAAAAGAGATCTCACAAGTTCGGAGAATTCTGGTATTTTATAGATGCATTAACATAGCGTAAGGTGGATTTAATTATGCTAAAACATTCAATGGTGTTGATAAATCTAGATTTAGTGATGTATATTATATACATGAGATTAGGATATGTTGTTCAATTAATTTTGCATAGCTATAAAACAAATATTTAGCTTTGAACGTATTTTTTTTTAATAAGAAATGAATAATATTACTAAAAATATATCTTGTTTCAAAAACTTAATCTGGTGTGTAATAACATCTAAATCGCTCGTTTGTTTGACATCAGCCTCACAAATGCCTTATCACGATTTACAACTTCATTTACAACATCCGCTGGACCGATTAAACCCGTATTTCAAGTCTAGTGACCGTATTATTGCTATTACAGTAATCGGCTCTGTTTGAAAAGCAATGGGGTTTTCAAGTTAATTTTATAATTTGTAGTTTTGATGATCAAAATAATAAACACTTTTCCTACGATATACTGTGATTTATGAGTTTTAATATGATCTTTGATGCATGAAAACGGACAAAACATGTTGTAGTAACTTTCTAATGATATTAGAAATGAGTTTCCGAAACAAATATGCGCGGGAAATTACCGTATCTTATCTAATTGAGAACTGAAACACTGAATTTATTTAAAACCACCTGATTAAATAATTTCTTCCTGAAGTATTTAAATCATCATATTTTTAAAGTTTGTATTATATATTTACATTTGTGCTTATATTCATATGTATTTAATGGACCCGTAGGGAACATTACGATTATCACAAATAATGTTTCAACAATGCTAAACAATGATATTATTCATTTACAATTCATACGGTATCTTCAAGGAAACGTAAAAAAATACAAATAATAAAAAAAATTACGTCTCTATGTTTTACTAATAAATTTTTGTTCTATTCGTCAACCTACCTTTGTAATTATTGGATTTTTCTTTTGTGTGGTCGACGAAATACCTGAAATAACATACTGATATTAGTTCAAAATCACATCAGGTTGTGAAATATAGCTTCGAAATGTATGGGTGTATAAAAGCTTTCAACAACAGTACATTTGTATGAATCCCAATCAAATCAGTGTAATGGAGGGCTATAAAGCTCAGCAATACAGCAAACGTTAATAATCCTTGCTATTACAGTAAACAATTTTCAATTTTGCCTTGTATTCCACATATTGTAAGTTTTAAAATTAAAAACCAAGACAAAATAAATTACAGAAAATATCCGAAAGCTAGGAAGTTCTTAAAGTAGACTTTATTGGTTCATTATATTAGAGCTTGGTTATAATATAAAAAAATTGACAAACGTCATAGCTATTGACTGGGTTAGGATACAAACTATACCGACATACTTGTATGAAGAAAACATATTTCTCTAACCAATGGTGATAATGATTTCGATCTTCAGCACACTTAACAATAATACGACTTATATTAAAATGATTTAATAAAATTATATAATTTCTAGATAACAATTCATTGCTATCACGGAAAGTTTTACTTTCACATCAATCAATCTTTTTTGTAAAACATCAAAATCTCTTCATCCTTAAACACTTTGGTACTCTCTTTTTTAATTTTTTACCCTCCATACCTTCGAAAAATAATAAAACTAATCAGTTATGGTCACCAAACCATTTTAAAGCAACCCAATAGACGCACATGTAGTTTTTTGTATGTCTGGTGATTTCACAAACTAATAATACTTTTGAGATATTATAGTTTTGCTTATTGTCGAGTCTACTAAATCATCATATGTTAGGCTTTCTTTTAACGTATATCATTATTACAGAATGAATTGTTGTTCTTTAACGCCAGATATCTTGAGTTAAAATATTTATGTCTATGCTGACACAATATTTTACAACATTATTACCAAGAATTTAGTAAACATAAGATACCCCAACCACAAAAAACCAACAAACTAAGCAAATTTCCATTTACCTGATTGTTTGTTTCACAAACACAATCCCCTAAAATTACAGATTTATTATTGTTTTAATACCATTAACTATAATGAGAAATTAGGTATACTGATACAAAGAGGTTAAATAAGGTGTGTTCATTAAAGAAATTGTGATAGCCTAGTATGATATAAACACATTTTGCGAATTATTCATTCCATTAACAAGAAGAATATATAAATTTATTTATTCTTCATAAAAATATCATTGGAATTTTAAATTTTTAGTTTAAAAAGACATTTTCCTTAATTTTTGTTGATTTACAAAAACTTTTTCATGTATTTAATATATTAATTTCTTAAGCTCTAAACATTTTTTAAGGTCAAAAATGGAAAACACATTTTTACCACATAAAACTCTCTTTAAATGCATCTTCATGTATTCCCATCATGCTAATTGGACTCGTTCGAATACATGTTTGTACCAATTTTCTTCAAAATCGGATCATTTTTGCTTGAGTTATCGTGCTAATGGACATATGACAAATCAATTTTCAACCAATCTACAAATAAGTATTTATTATGAACCTTTCACAATAACTTGAATCGGTTAAAAATCAACTCTACTAAGGAATAGACATCAAGTATTATTTTATACCAATTCCTAATATACAGAATAAAATGTTTTGATCTAAATTATACAATTCAATACGTCATAAACTATCAGAGTGCATGGATATATTTAAAATTGAATTATATTAAAAAATAGAAAACCTGTTTATGAAACATACAAACATCATATATATGATTTGAATATCCCAAGTAATATGAATGCTTGCAGTACTTTGTAGACCGGAACCATTCTAATCTGTGTAATATCGCCTGCCACAATGTCCCTTATGAGGTTTCCTTGTGGTTTCTAGGCTGCATGTTACAGTTGACACTAGGAATTATACTCCATAATTGTTGTAATTGGTCTATAATTACTTATGAATAGTTTGCCTTGAGTTGAATGCTGTTGGTTCAATTTAATAAGTGTAATTGCAAAGTACAGTATTCAAGAACGACATTGCTGGATTAAATAGGATTACAGGCTAAGGAGGTATAGATGTTGTTTGGTAAAAGTCTAAGTTAAAAAGATCCCCACTGCAGCAATCCTGCAGAATAGGTAAATTCCCATTTGCTTGATTGATTTTCTCAAAAATATTTCCTTAGAAAAGTCATAATAATTCCCTATTTAAATAACGTTCGTTTAACGAGTACCTAGTTTTGCTGCTACAGAGAACAAAGTAACAGGTTTTTATAAGTAAAATATTATTACCTATTACTTTTGTATGAAGTAAATACAATTTCCAAATTTGATCAAAATATGGCCATAAACAAGAAAACTTACCAGTTAACTTATTCTCTATAAGAATAACATTGCAATTTCAAATTTTCAGTATTTTTTCATTTACGATTACTCAGTTTTTTTCCTTTTTAGAATAAATAGAAAGAAACTGGAAATTGTAATGTTTTTGGGTTCAAATTACCATATTGAAACCACCAAAAAGTCCTTTTACATTTTTATATCATAATGACTCGAAAATTGTTTAGATTTTTATGTAGGTTTACACGTTTATATGAAATTCCTTTAATTGTATATTTTTTTCTTGAGTTATCGTGCTAATATTATTCTATGAAAATAAATATACAATTGAAATTATAGTGTTCTTGGCCCCAATTGACCTCAATGTAGGAAAAAAGTCGGTTCCGGGTCCAGATCCTACCATGAGACTAACGATAATATTCCCTTACTTATCATATTTTCCATATTTTCATTTGTGGGATATTCGCTAAGAATATAAACATTTTAGAAACGGTTCGGTGGTAATATAATAACTTTTAATTGTATGAATTTCAATAATCTAATAACGTAAGCCAATAACTTCAAAGGTACACGTATTGCCATCTTACATATGTTCTAAACAATAGCAATCTTCCACGACCATTTTTCATCCAAAATAATAGTGTGTATAGTGCAAAACACCTAAAAGAATCTGTACGAATCATGTAACACATTTTGAAGGACATTTAAAACAATAACACCCATTTGTGGGTAACACATACACACTATATTTCCACACGAAAGCGGGTTGTGGTAGAGAGGCTATTTGAAACGGCAAAAGACATTCAATGGAAACAGATGGTCTCAAAACTGTCTCTATTGGTTGTTTCCCTCAGGGCACTTGAGGTGCTTTTATGTTGTGATTATTTCCACGACAAACTGTAGGGAACTGTTTTATTTAATATATCTCGGCAAGTATCAGTAGAAATTGATGGGGTATTGTTTGAAGGAAGGTTACTAATACTAGCCAATTAGTTTAGTAATGATTATTGTATTTCATTAGTATTAAAATTAATGCCAAATGTTTACATTGGTGTATTTAATAATCGATTACTAATTATTAATTACAGTTAATCATGCTTGTAAAACATTAAACAATTTGGCATTTTAGAATAACATTTGTCCTACAACAGTCAGTGTTATCATTATAATTATTTTACTTCTAAACCTGAATCAGGAAAACAAATTCTGACCAACATAAAACCCCATAAAAACCTCGTTCTCATATTCCAATAATGGGTTTTTCCCGTCACTATTTCAAATACACGTTCACACATACGTTTACAAGTTTAATATACAGAATCAAGGTTGATATTAAACAGACTTGAATTATTGAGCAAACAGACACACATATATGTATATTAATTTGTATTGATATTATTGGCCTCCGTTAACATCATATCGAAAAGGTCACAGGGTCTCGGAACTAGGTCTCACAATGAGCTCTGCTACAACATTCATGAAAATAAACATAAATTAACAAAAAGATTTAACTGTAATATTTACTGAAAGTAATATTTTAACAGATATTTTTTCATTTAAGAATTTGCAGTTTGACGAGAAGAAAATGTTTTTGAGAGAAGGAAACCCCTAACAGATCGCCTGCAGCTGTCCTTGATTTACTGGTGGAAGTTTTCATCGTGAAATGTATCAATATTTCTTTATACTGTCACATATATTGTAACATATGATTGCAGCTTGAAAGCTAAAAGTAAAGGTATGGAATTTTGTAATGCTAAACTTTTGACACACTAACCTTTTTTGTTATAAAAATGTTTTACTTAAACATGATCAATGTTTCAACATGTTAATTTCTTACAGGTGTTCAGTTATCAGAATAATACTGAGTAGGAACAATTATTCGATCTATTAGGCCTGAAATAAGGTTATCGGAAAGTTATGTCTAGACGTGTCCAATAACGTGACCTGCCCATCGCAAGTATCATTTCCCTAAAACTAGAAGGTCTACCAAAGCGTCCTAGACCGTACGAATTCAAAATTTGGTATTCACCCTAATTTACAATAATTAAATGCAATCATACAGCTAAATTTCAATAAAATAAATCGTAGTTATACTAATTGTAAAAATATTTTGCTTTATGTTTTAGATTGTTATTAGGTATCCATAAAGACAATTATTATCTTTATTTATATATAAAATAAATACCTAAGTAACCATAAATACCCCCGCCGCAGCAAACCTGCCGACTAAGCGAATTTCCATTTGTCTGAATTGATTTTCAGTTAAATATATTTTAATAACATTAGGTTTAAAGAGTACCTAGGTTTGCTGCTACAAGGAAACTAATAAAGTGTGTTTTTGAGTAAAATATTGATAGCTTAGTACAAAATAAATAAATTTGCCAAGTTTGATCAAAATATATTCATAAACAAGCAAACTACAACATTTGACAATATTCTCCATAAGAATAACATGGGAATTTTAAATTTACAATTTTTTTAATTTTCTTCGTTACTAATAATTGAACAAAAATACTTTTATATACTAAATTATTTGTTTTTTTAAGCTCTTTAAAAAGGTCTAAAGAGAAATTGGGAAATTTTGTGTTTTGAGGGTCAAAAGTGAGAAAAACCAATTTTTACCCCATAAAACCCCCCGTACAGCCCCGTTCCCATGGTCCGATCGTGCTGGTTCGCGAACTCATTC